GTTACAGCTATTCTACCCGTTTTCTTTAGTGATTTTATAACTTCGGTTTTGGTCTCGTTGTAGAGACGGGGGGATCGCTGTGTCAGTAAAGTATCCCTGAGACGGGTCGTGTGCAACATAGCGTGAAAGCCCTGTTTCGCAACGACTGAGAACTGGCGTGCAGACTGCAGGTCACATAGCAGCGATGCGTTATTCGCATTTCTAAGCACCGCAGTTGGTTTCCTGGTACGTTAAATCTGCAACTAGAGACTGTCAGACACTAAAAAGTTGCGAAGATGAAGTTGCTTCTCTTTCGAATTCTCCCGTTCCACCTTAAATGGTGCCGCATTTACATTCGGCGCCTCAGTAAGAATTTAAGGCGGAACGGGTAAATCCGAACAAGAAGCTGGAGAATGAGAAGCAACTTCAGCCTCGTAAGACAGTCATTGAGAGACATTTTACAAGAAACTGATCTACTTCTGAGGAAAAGTTTTCTGGCGGAGATGGGAGGAAAGCAGCTATAGCTGAAGCTTAAAGCAGAGCGAAGTAAATCTGCGTTTTCGTTTATATTGTTTAGCCTATATTAGGACATTATCACATACTGAGTGTTAACATTTGAGTTGTGACTCCTGACACCTGGCTTTAATGCACAGTGTGCTGGTCGGATTTCTCGCTCTTCCACTTGTGTTTTTGTTATGTGCCGCCACAGCTTTCTTTTTAATGAAACATGCATTTGTTCAGTGTTCTTTAAGTACTGCCGATATCCATGATATGCTCAGTCAAGCTTACTGTGACATATTGTAGCATAATTGATCACGATAATGATAAATATCATGACATTTCCCAGCCCTAATTCAGACTCTTTCAGGATAAATTCACAATGCATCAAAATTTACCCACTCTTAACATGTAGGTGAGTATCAGAATTTCTCTTTTAGTAATAATTTAGACCAGGAGTGTCAAACTCAACCACTAATAGGGCCATGTAAAAAAAATCTCACAAACTTGTGGGCCAGAGAACGACTATGTTTTTATTTCATTTTTAATTAATGTTGTGTTATAACCCGAACTGGCCATCGTTTGATGGCCAAACTCCACACAGAGCAACAGCGCTACCCACTGCGCCACCGTGCCGCCCCTCAGATTGATGTAGTAAAACTGAATTGAAATTAGGCCAAAAGACACAGTTAAAATATTTATTGTGACCACAGAGGACCACAAAAGTAACAAGAATCCTTTCAACCATAGTGAAAAGCTGTTGAACAGATGAAGTTGTGGATAGATGTGTGAAAGTCTACCATGATGACAAGAGTACACTAACAAGACCTCTAAGGGCTTACCTTTTGACTACATGGTAAGCCTCAAAAACAACACACAAAAAGCTGCCAACTTCAGGAACATATTCATATACATAGATAAGGCAAAGATTAAGCTTTTGTCAGGCTGGTGAAAAGAAAAGTGTACAGTAAAAAAGCTCTGCTCATTATACAAACACCTCATCTGCGAAACATGGTGGTATACCCAGATATGGCTGCCAGTGGAACTGGCTCACTTGTTTTTATTGGTGTTGTGACTGGATGAAAGTGTACATCTTAACTGCTCAGATCCAAATAAATGAATCTGCAGACTTCACCTTGCAGCAGGACAATGACCCAAAACACACTGCAAAGCAACTATGGAATTTTTCACCACATGGTAGAACGTTATTCTTGACCTCCAGCACATTGAGCATTCACTGCAGTTACTGAAAACTGAAAGCAGAAAGCCTCTAAAAACAGGCAGAGCATCACCATGACAGATATCCAGACAGTTATATAGGAAAGGCCTGGTAAACAGACATTAAATATGACAACTGTTACAACAATATACATTTCTATAGGACAATACACAAGTATTATAGACACAGCTCAGGATAGCATAGGGGGCAGGATAGCATCCACTCAATTAAAAAAAAATGACAAAAACCATCCCCTAAGACCTCTATTATTGATATTTTTATTCTATCCATATATGATTTAGACACTATCGGAGTTCTTCATTTAAAACAAATAGCCAGGTTACAGAGGTGGTTATGTAGAATCACACACTTTTGCTTTTCATATATTATGCTGTAGAGTGTTTGGTACAGTGCGTGCACCTGCCAGCACAGATCTCAGGTTAGCAGTCTTCCTGTCCAATTGTGCTAGTTTGAAAATGCTGTTGCAGGAGTTTCAGTTTCTGGTGGACTTTGGGCTGGGGACTCTTGCCACACCTGGTAACCCTACCCACCATAAGGAGTACTACTGGAGTTTATAACCTTTGGAGATTATCTTAATATTTATTTATGAAAAGGTACAAAATTAAAAGGTGGCACTGCCAGCCACATCTCCAAAATGAGAACTACTAAGCTAACTTAATCACATATTACTATCTGCATTGTTGCTAACACTACGGTCATACCTGAGATCTTAAATGTTGCTACTGATTAAAAAATGTAATTATTGATTAAAGAACCAATAAATGAGGCTGTTTAGCATTACGTCCATCCCTTTTTTAAACTCCAACCACTGACAATAGACTACTACAAGACAGATATATTATGGAATACTCTCGAAGCATATAGCACTACAGATATGTTAGAGATCCTAATAGTATTATTACTCATTATTATTATTATTATTATTATTATTATCATCATCATTATCTTTTCAAAAGGTTCACCCAATATTAATGGAGTAACAAGACATGCATCATGGAAATTGCCAATGCATTGTTGAGAATGGACATTGTATTAATTCTGCCATCTAATGCAATTACATTGTTTGAACGCCAACGTTTGCTAATGATCAACATTTCATCAGTTTTGTTTATTTAAATTTTGTCCAAAATATTGTGAGAATGCTGAAACATGAACCCAGTATTGTAAATTGGTTGATGTTTTGTTTTACCCCACCCAAGAGAGATGCAAATACTTTCTAAGTAAAAAGCTGAAATTCTGAACTTTTATCTGGCAATCATTGTTCCATTTCAAATACAAGGTGCTGAAACACAGAAGCAAAACAATAAAAACTGCGCTTACAGACTGCACACGTAGTCCCCCTCCAGGACCTCAAAAGAACAAAACCACATGCGTTGACCAAAATTCCGTTCCCACACTCTTGCAAGCTGCAAACCCAACATGACCTCAGCTGTGACTCATCCAATTGCAACCTAAACAACTGGGTTATACTGTACAAGACTGCTGCCTGCTGACCTACTTCATGCTTCTTACACAATACAGCCAAACTTATCCAGATACTCCACGTAATTAGAAGTGAACCCATTGCTGATAAAGGCTGAGTGTCAGCTTGAGGGGTATAAAGCCCCTCAGCATTGGTCTGTGGAGCAGTGGAACTGCATTCTCTGGAGTGACAAAGCAACATCAGATATCTCTGGGATGAGCTGGAGTAGCAGAACTAATCTGTCGATATCAGTACCTGACCTCAATAACGGTCTTGTGGCTGAACACAGTCAAATCCACATGTCAATGTTTTGAAATCTAGTGTTCCGAGAAGACTAGAGGCTATTACTAGAGCGACAGTGAGGAAAGCAACCTTTCTATTAATGTCTCCGATATTAAGACAATATCTAATATGCTAAGATATTAAAAGAAAATCAGAATTGTTCACAGTGGTGGCGATAGGAACCAGACGTCTCTAAGAGCTACCTCACTGAAAGCTATGACTTTAAATGGTTATTAAAAGGCTGGCTGATGTCTAAGGCATTGTTTTACAATAGTTTTGTAATACGTTCATTGTGGAGAGGTACACACAAGGTGGGGTAAGGCAAAACAAGAAAATGAAAATGTGTTTTGTTCAGATTTAGCATTTTTTATCATCAACATTACATTTAACAACTCAAAAGAAAATGTAGGTTCACTAGTGGTTTCGGAAAGTAAATAAAATGTTTGCATTGTAGGCACCATGACCCCTGGTTCCTAACACCACCACTGTAAAGAAATCTGAGTCGGTAAGCTTCTCTACAATGAAACCATCTCAGATCAAATCATTCTGGATAACTACACCTCAATGATTTGATTACGCTTGTTTGTTGTTTGAAAAATCAGTGGAAATTCCTCTTTAAATCTAGTCCTGGACCACTCAGAATTCTGCATGAAGGTTCTAGGGATTCTCCACTGAAAGGAAAATGAGGAAAATGTAGTCCAGGACTAAATTTAAAGAGGAATTCCACTGATTTTCCAAAGAACAGGCGTAATCCAATCCAAGCGTAATCCAATCAGGATTTCAAGAAGTGTAATTTCAATCAGGAGCTCTTTTTTGTTATAAATAAATAAATAAATAAATCACAAAAAAGTACAAATTACATTCAAGAACCAAAAATATACATACATTGATTGTCTTTAGTGCTTTCTTATCTTTTGAATATTGTATAAGGATGACGTTGTTTGAAATCTTCCAAAAAGTGTATAAAATCAGGTTTGGAGAGAGACCAATTTATTTAATGAAAGTGAAACGTCTCTAATATAGGAAACAACTGTATGACATAGTTGTCTTACTTCAAACTCATATCTAAAACAAGATTAAGCCACAAATACAGGCTTTCAATCCTCAAGACACTCCCAGGCTTTTTCCCCCAATAAAGTTTGCTGCATCTGTTCAAAACATTCGTGAGTAAACACAGTGACAAAACAAATGAACAATCGTTTCTTTCTCTCCTGGTCCAGGACTAAGCTTAATCCCTGAGTAGACGTTCAAGTCACAGCGCGTAACAAAACATGCTCGGGCAATATCAATTGGCACATCTAGTTTCCGCGGACGTGACGTAGCAAGCCGACCTACACGCTATAGATGTATATAGCGCTCCTACAGAGAGTGAGTGAGTGAGCGGGCGGGTGGGCTATCACCTTTACCCTTTGTAAGCCTTCGCCAAATGACACAAGCTGCCGGCCACTTTCTGGGTGGCTTCCTTTTGTTCCCGCATTTTACCTCAGGCCCTTCTCTCAGTCAGGCAGGCTGAAATCAGACATAAACAAAGCGACCCACCTCGCAAACGCCTCCTCGCTGTTGCGTCTTCAATCAATGAGGGGCTGAAGGCGATGTACTAGCCTAGGCTAGTCCACAAATCAGTAGTGTTTTATGTAAGTCAGCGGGTTCTCCTTCATGAAGAGCCTCTCTCTGTCTCTAGTCAGCGCGCGGTGTTCCAGTCTCTGTTATAGCCAACACACATGAGCTCCGTGACTGATTAAATATAGTTCTGCAGATGTACACAAACATGACAGTGAAGTACACAAAAAAAGGAAACACATCGATGGCAGGAAGTATCAGGTAGGTTTGTTTTTCTGATGGAAAGGGGCGTTAACTAATCACGCTCTTCGCCTTGCGGACGCCCCGCCCACCCAAGCGACAAAAGCCAATAGCAGCGCTTACAGAACGGGTTCTATGCAAATTTAGAGCGGGTGCGCAGGTGCCGCTCTTCTTTGTTGTGGGTGGATTCTTAAGGAGCGAGAGGTAATGCCGTTTAAATGAATGGAACTCTGAACTGAGGCTGCTATATTACTGCTGCTCTATATGAAACGCTAAAACAAGCCGAAGTTAGCTCACTAACTTGATTCATATGGGTTATTCCACAATTGGAGTGACATCGTGCCACCGACATTACACTTACAGATGTGTTTAAAGAGTAAAATACGTTTAAGGCCTTTACAACAACCTACGTGCATGTTTCAGATGAATATCAATGTCCCAGCCCGCTATAACTACACTTTACCTTGAAATATAGTAATTAAAAAACTTCAGAGACCTTGTAATGTATTAATCCATTTAACTTCTCATGCTTCAATCATGCTGTTTCATAAGTTATCCATTCCTGCTTATGAAAAGTGTGCATTTCAGTTTTGTCCTGGTTACCTGACACTTTCACCCCTATGAAATATCTGGAATATTCCACAAGTCACACGTTCAACAGGAAGATGAAGATTTTTAGTGGTGCTGTGATATTGATCGACAAGATCACTTTGACAGTTCAGCCCAGTTATCCAAATTATAGATAGTAAATTATAGTTAATTAATAGAAAGTCAATGTCCTCTTGCCATTAGCATGGATACAAGTTAACCATATTTACTGTATTTGCTAATTATATGCTTGTTACTGTCGACTCTGTTACTAATTTAAGCCACTGTTAGCAAAGAAACCTTGTAAAATACCTTGTAATGAGATCTTGTTTCTGAGATGGGCTAACATGTTTTTAAATATATTTTCTTAGATTCAGTGTTTAAAAATGTTTCATTTTTAATAGTTACAAAGACTGAATGGCACATCCATTCTTAAATTCCTGTTTATAGTGGCTAGTAACTTTCTTTTCTTAGTAGTTTGATGTCCAGCTCTTTTCTCATGTTCCAGAAGAGCACATTCCAATATGGCAGGATGTTAATCTTACTGTTATGCTGATGGCTAAACATTATATCTTAGCAAAGGGCTGGAACATAAACTTACAAGCATGATAGAAGGATGAATGCTTATTACAATGTTATAAAAGGGGTTTGTGGAGCATTCTTCTTATTCAAAATACTTCATGTTTTTCTGACTTAATCTGTTGGAGAAGTGTCGTACATTACAACATCAGCACAATAACAGACCACAATACACCAAAAAGCAAATCCAAATAATACATATTAAATCAGTGATCAGTGGTTCTCAAACTAGCCCGAGGATTCCTCATACGGTCCACATTTTTGCTTGATGTCAACTCCCAACACAGAGGGATAAAGAAAAAAGTGGGCTGTCTAGCGGGTTTGAGAACCACTGCCTTTTTTTGGTGTTTTATGTACATACCTCACCTTATCTGCCACATAATAAATAAAAAAAAATCATAATGTAATCATTGAGTTATAAATTTTAAGAAAAAGACCCTACTCAATAGCAGTAGACTGTGATACAAATGCCTACAGCTAAAGGTAAACATTATGTATCCACAGGCACAAAACCATATAGATAATATGATCAATCACAGACTGCCATCTGCTGGCCGTTTTTTTACCAAGCAAGCTATTTTTTCCCTTAAAAATGAGACACTCAGGACACTGACACCAAAAAAAATGGTCAGTAGTAATAAAACGTTTATTGCTCAACACATCTTTGTACAAACCTCTCACAAAGATCTTCTATAAGAAGAAAACAACACAACAATGTAAAAAAGGCAAGGGATACTCCTGAAAGAAAATCTCTGAGCAACTGTTCTGATCAACAGGTCTACCACATGATAATGCTCTTGAGGTAGTAATCAATTGGGAGACAGCAAAATAAAAGGCTTCCCAAACTGTCTTTAAGACAAACTGGTAAATAAGTGGACAGCAAAGATTCTGCTGGTTTCCTGAGCCCAGATTACATCAAGGTCTACCTAATTTACTGTTCATCCAGGAACAGCCTTAACATCTGTCCCAGAAACCAGCCCTGTACTCAAACGTCACATTGAATTTGTTCTATACTTCATTCATCAGTTGTTCCCCTGATTCTGATACTACATTTTGTGCCCCACTGACTGTAAATGATTTACTGAATTAATTAGTTTAATGTCTAGAATTTAAAAACATAATACTCTGTTTTGAATGAAAGACATTTCACAATACATAGTTTAACACATGTTCAGTTCTATTTTTTACAACTCAAGAGAGGGTACATCCATGTTTTGGAAAGATGCTGAGGACCTTTTTTGTACCAATACTACAATCATTTAAACACTAATTTCAAAATAGTCAAGTCTCAATTTGGTGAAATGGTCTTTAACACATAGCAATGGTGTTGGCAGACTCTACAAATCCCTACATGATTGTCTTATGCTCGTTTTCTTTGAGGCATGTAGAATCACATGAGCACACGTTCATGAAGTTTCCATTAGAATATTATTTACATAAATCTAAATAAAGGGACAGTAATTGTTTCAAATTCAAGCAATGTGTGATGAGGTGAACATATTCAGTATTTTGTGGCAACAGATAGTCCATATTTCATACTACGTCAGCCTACAGTTACTGTAATTCTAACTAAGACTGAAATAACTACCAATATACAGTTCATGCTTTCAAATATCACAAAAGCTGAGGTTCTGTTGTAATTGAGGTTTCATGTTAGTTATTAACTACTCTTAAAATGTGTTTTTGCTCAGAGCTTCTAACATTTGGCAGTTGAAGTAACAGCATCCCTGGAGTAATACGGGATTAAGGTTACCCATTAGTTCTTTTGCCTAGTACATAGCACTCCAGGAACAGAGTTAAAACATGAAGTGGGACAGTTTTTTTTTTTCTGTGTGCTATTAGTACTTCTATAATAATATACAATTTTCAGAGACCATTTTTTGCACACATTTTAAGTGTGTCAGTCAAGACCAGTAGCATCTGCAACTTTTCAATGTCACCAGGTTCCAAAAAAAAAATAAAAAACTTTGTTGCGATCATTTGTATTTGTATCACAAGCATCTGTGCTTCTTACGAACACACAACTAGACTTACTAAAGCCATAAACTCAATGATGCTGAAGCTCACGTTACAACAGGTCCGTTAAATAACAATACATGCAAATATTCAACTCCTATTCTATTACATTACAGCCCTTTACAAAGGTCTCTATATTCATTTCCCTGTTTTGGTGTTAATTCTTAACTAACACATATTCTGAGGTTTGCATTTTGCCGTAACAGTGAGGATGTATAAACTATTTCTGATATTTACACCTGTGCATGTTTTGATGGCTTTGTACAGCCATAAATATTTCCTACAATATTTTACAGAATTATAATGGCACCATTTACAAAGGAAATTCCTAACAGAAGCTAACCGCCTCAAACAGATTAGACTCTGGTTTTGAAAAAAATAAACACTGGTGAGAATAATCAGGTAGGATTTACATTTTTAGATACAATTGCCAAATGACCCTGATAATCATACAGACTTCAGTGTATAAAATGACTCAAACACCTTTTCTTCCCCATCACTGTGCTCTATAAAGCACATTGTGACGCCACAGAGAGCTGTAAGGGCCCCTATACCAGTGAAAGAGCAGTTCTAGCCACAAAAGCCATCAAAACATCGCTGATTCAAACTTGTGCAACTGTATTTGAGGTTCTTTAAGATGCTTTGTAGGCTGTGGTTGAAAATAGACTTTTTAAACCGTTTTAAAATATAGACATGGTTGCTATGATACCGTTTCATTCGAGAGAATGCATGGTCTTGGGTACACCTGAACACCTGTAAGTGCTATAGATCCCTTCAGCTTCAGCATATTCCAGCAGTGAATGAAAACCTGGGAAGCTTTCGTCCTCTTCTAAAACCTTCATGGCACAATGGAGTACCGCGCTTTCCTGGTAACTCCAAGCTGCTTAAGCAGCTTCCCAAAGCATTCCGAATCAGTCAGTGTGCTTGGGGCAGCAGATCTAAGAGGAATGTTCTGCTCTGGTCCGACGGGCCTGGTGGGCCTTGGCACAGGTGGAGGTGTGGCGGTTGAAGCTGTCTCTCCACATGAAGCGTTTTGAACAGAGGTTGCACTCGTAGGGCTTGATCCCTGTGTGGATCTTCATGTGCCCGACCAGATGGTGCTTCATCTTGAAGCTCTTGCCACAAACAGCACAGCCGAATGGTCGCAAGCCTAAGTGCATGCTCATGTGGCGATCTCTCTGACTCTTGTGGGTGAAGCTTTTGCCACACTGACATGGGTAGAGCTTGTAAACTACAGATGCGAACCCTGAGTGGGTGGTTTGCTCTTTTGTGTCCCCACCTCCCTGGGAGCTGTCTTCCTCCCCCTTAACTACACCTGCACTTCCATCTGGCTGCACATCATCCTTAGATACTGCAGGAGAGCCTTCATCACCATCCTGGGAGAAACCTGCGATGGAGGTCCCATAGAAGTCCAGGGGGTCTTCATAGGAGCAGTCTCCATCCAAGTTCTCATCAAAGCGTGTTGCCAGCTTCTCCTCCAAACAGTCCTCCATGACTTCTGCTGTATGACTGGCCTGATCTGAATCAGACACAGGATGAGAGTCGCCTCCAAAAAGGCCACCACAATCTTCACGACTCTGCCTCTCGGATTTTACGTGCACCCTTTTTCTATGACCCATAATGCTGGGTGGAACATAAGTAGATCTGGACCGCTGATTCTCAGCGGAGTCTGGGTCCCCACTTTCACTGCTCGACCTTTCGTGGGGAGAACAACTTGCACTCTGTGAAGTTCCTGGTCCCACTGAAGGGAAGGAAACCCCATCCTCCAGCAGCTCCTCTACCCCCAGGTCCTCCTTGTGACCACCTGTCTGGCTGGCTCCCTCAAATCCTCCGTCATCTTCATTATCTATATCATAACCATCTTCTGTAGGGGACGACCCCTGTTCAAAATTTCCACTACTTGCCTTATTCCCGACTTCCAACAGTTCAGTGCACTTGTCCACCACATGCCACATTTGCAGAAAACTAGCAGCAGTCAGGAAAGCCACCACCTCCCCAGACGGCACAGAGAGAGCTCCTGTGTAGCAGGACAGGAGGAGCCTCTCAAACACACAGGGGTGCATGACATCAGGCAGGACTACACGGGCACTGTTCTTCAGCAGGACCTGGTCACAGAAATAGGGGGAACTGGCTGCAAGTACAGCACGGTGGGCTCGGAACTGGTGTCCACCTAGGGATACAATGAGATCACACAGCTGCCCCCTCTGACGCTGCTGGTTCAGCTTCTTAAGTAGGGAGCATGAAAAATCTGGGAACTCAACATGGAAAGAGTTTGCTTCGTTCTCCATGATCTACCAGGATTCAGAGGTTCTGGAAGAAACAGAGATTAACAGTTTTAGCTTAATAATTCTTCACACAATAATTACAAATGCACTGAACCACAAACATCACCTTCGACACATTTAGAAATGCGCATTAATTACAATAACTACAAAAATGTGTCGAAGTCAGGTGAAGTCGCTTGGCCTGGGACTTCACAAAACGAAGCTAACTTGCTAGCTAGCCAGCTAACGCACGTCAAAGAAACAAGGTGAGCTTTCGGGAAAATGGTGCGCTACAGATTAACTGTCGTGTTTGAAAATGCACGTAATGCTGCTTTTTCTCTCACAACCGAAAGCGAGAAAACAGTCCGCTTACCGTTTTCACCATTTTTGTCAAATTTCTTGATAATTCTCAGCCGCTTCTCTTCCGAGTTCCACCGGATTTCGCACCTAATACGTCATCACGTCGACTAGCATGGCGCCCAAGAAATGTAAACAAACACGCCCCCTTTTCCGGGTTGCCAAATTGTGCTACATTCGCAACACAAATAGAGACGCGCCACTTTTCTTTGTCTCTGTACAGTTGGTTCAATATGTGTCTCTATTTTTTTAATTTTATACGATAATGTTGGTAAATGAGTTCATAATTTCCTTTATTTTTATTTATTTATACCATTTTTTCATCTTTATCATTTAAGAGCCGCTGACTGATGGCATCGGAGAAATGAAAAACGTTTCGTTTCACTATATCTCCAACAGATGGCGCTTCAGGATAACCGTGCTGTATGCTGCTTTGATAGATTGCTCATTGTAGGCTTATTTCTTTTCGGTGACTGCATAACTGCTGGAAGAAAATCATAGAAACCATTAAAAGTTTATTTTGGTTCCTGATGGTGTTCAAGCCTATATTCCTGATGGGTTGATATCACGGTGTAAAGGATTCTAATGGTTTAACAGGTGTTCCACTTGCATTTGATGGCTTCCTAATGGGATCTAAAGCTGTCCTAATAGAAACAGGTGGTCTCTAATGGTACACTAAGCCACTTCCCATCAGAGAGCAAAAACATTTTATATGTATACAGACTTTCTAACTTTGCTCTCTTCAGTGGTTCCAGTTGTTGTATAGTACCCTGTTTTTTTCCTGGGTGTGTTTTAATGATCCGTACAGAAAACTCACATATATTTCAAATGTGAAGTGTGCAAAAATCTCGTTTACAAGTATTCACACATTTTTTTCACATGTGAACACAATTTCACCAGAGGTCTCAGATTTTTTCACATGATCACACATCTAAAATATGCGGTGTAAAAAAAAACAAAAACCACGTGTTTTAATCACGTAAAAGTCATGTGGCTTGTCACGTTCACGTAGGTCACATTTGTTGCATTTCAAACAGTTTTCCAGGAATACAGTAAAAAGCATGAGCACCAGCATGGAACAACACAGTATGGCCCTTAGAACCATTTGGCTCTAGAGTGTAAAAAAAGGCCTTTGTTTACATTTTAGCATTTCATATTCGAATTTTCAGCACTGACATTATTTCCAATCAGAGATGTCCTGATATTTTTAGTATATAAGGTATATTGTAGTGTTTCTCTTTTGCTCTGCACTGCATTCCATTCCGATACCTGGAACTGACCCATCTCTGTCGTGTGCAGGCAGATGCACACAGAGGCACACACACACAAGCGTGCAGTGGAATGATTAAATTGGGATTCCTTGTCTCAAAGAGTGATGCCAATTTTGATAATATTTCAGAAAGCTCCACCATCAAAGAAACCTCTGTTTGAGTCGTATTCAGCACTGAAGAGAGTCTTTGTCACAGTGGGCTGTATGCTTGACCAGCCATTCTTGCTTAGCTGTACAGCCACCTTTAAAAAGTGCAGGTGCAGAGATCAGAGGGCTACAGGTACTTGGTGGGGTGGGGTGTGCCCTGTTCACTTTGATGTGCACGAGGTCACAAGGGAGAAACATTCTTCAACTCTGACTTGTTGCCAGCCAAGCAATATCAACGTTTGTCTACGGGCAAACGCTTTTACTTTAGTGACTGGAGCAAGCTAATAAATAAATGAGTGGAGAAACATATCAAGCGTAGATGCTTCCAGACCTGTGCTATATGATACGATTACACAATCTGTGGCAGACCAGGCCCAGTTGACCTTGATTTTCAGTCAAGACGACAAGAGGAAAAGATGTCTTTGAAAGAAGGTTCATTATTGCGGCACGGATGGCAGGAGCTTCAGTCACAAAGACTTCTCAGCTGGCTAGTGTTTCAATAGAAATAGGGACTAAAGTGACATCTGCATTTAGATCTATGGGTAAGATATCAGTAGATAGGGTTGGAAAGCACACATTCAATGGATGATAATGCTCGTGCATTAGTGCACTGTGTAAGAAAAGGGACTGAGAATGTCAATGCAGGATGTGATGAGACTACCAGCAAGAACTGCCCATCATAACTACATAGAGAGGGATATTATAACCAGGTTGCACAGCATAAAACCCTCATTACAAAGATGAATACACGTTTGAGAGTGGCGTATAAACCTATGAACTACTCTACAGAGATGTGGAAAAAGATGATACAGTCAGACGAGTCATGGGAATGGTAAAGGCCTACTTTAATTTGTCTGCTTACAGATGTACAATATCCAGTAATGAACAGTAACTATTAGAACTACGCCTTCAATTTGGGTAATAAATGTCAAAACTTGACCAAAACATGAGGGAAAAACCCACCTCTAACATCACACCTCTAACCCATGTTCTTATAGGATTCCAGCTGTTTGTTAGTGCTAAGTTAACGGCGATTCACATATATATATATATGTGTGTGTGTGTGTGTGTGTGTGTATGTGTGTGTTATAGTATGTACAGTGTACACCACTATTAACATACTATTATCAAATGTTAATCAAATTGTGTAGATGAATATATTCACCCAGAATAACATTTCTCAATACATTGCTGTTTCATTTGTGTATGTGTCCACCAAATGGTCATGAGTTAATGTGTACACAAAATTAGACCAATCAGTATTAATTTCATCCATCTGTCCATTATGACATGTAGAACACCTGCCTTTTTATAAAACTGCCTAGCTGTCAGAATATAACTGAATTTATATTACATTGCATTCTATATGAAAAGGGAACGAGTGGGATGACAATCAGATAATTCCATCATCTGGCTACATTTAATATTGAGTCTTTCAGGACATGAGCAGGGGTGCTGGGTACACGTTTTTCTTCAAGAATATGAAATAAATAGATGTACATATACATTGCTAGTTTAGAGACTGTGCTATTAATACATTTACATAACACTTTACATGTATATTTCCATAGATCTTATATATACACCATTGTTATCATTGTTATTCTTTCTTTTTTCCTACATATAATGTTGTGTCACAGTTTTCTAAACAGGTTATTTTTAAAGGGGAATTCCACACATTTCTCAAAATGTAACGCTGTTAAAATGTAAACAAAGTCATTCAGAGTGTTGAAACACCATAACATGAAAGAGAAATGTACCAACTCAGATTTCTTTACAGTGGTGGCAATAGGAACCAGGTGTCTACAACGCAAATATGGCCATTTTATTCACTATCAAAAATGACCAGTGAACCTACACATGTCTTCTGAGTTTTTATATGTAATGTTGATGATGGTAAAATACTGATAAATCAGGAAGTTTTCTTTAGGGATTATTTTGCCTTACAACACCCTTCAGTCATCTGGTTCCTATCACCACCACTGTAACAGTAAGTTTCTCTAGAATGGAGCATTTCAAATCAAAACACTCTGAACTACTTTATTTACACATTAGTCATCTAATTATGCAGAAATGTTGAAAAATGGGTACAGTTCTCCTTTAAGACTGATATATGATAATGATCTCTGTTCTGATTGGCTGCCCTGTATTGTGTCTACTTCAAAAAGCAGTCTGGGCTGAAATACTCCTGATACCTTCAGCCTAAACTGCAATAGGATGAATAGGTATATATATGTAAATGAATATATATACATATATGTATATATGGACTGTGTGGATTGTGAAGTGAATGGTACATTTTAAAAACTTTAACCAAGTTTTCTTACAACATCCAACTCTTGTGTTTCAAAACAAGTGAAGAAAATTCACTTTTCTATACATGGATCCTATTTCAGCAAATTAAAAGTACCAAAAAGTAGCAAAAATATATTTGGACATGAAAAAATTAAACTAAAATCTTCTCAAGAAATGTGAAAGGTGTTCAGATACAGGTGGGGCATCAATAAAAAGGTAAGGACGTCATTTAAGATCTCTTTCATCATCTTAAATCAGTGTGACATGAGATATCCAACTAAAACAGTACTTCTGAAAGACGCACTAAACAAGGCAAAGCAAGTGGCGATTGAAAACTCAATAGAGTTCCATGTTAGCAAGCGTGGAGAGCACAATGGCGGATGATTGTGTTTGCACTGACCAACCTCACCACAAATCTTGATCTGGCATCTGCATTGACAGACTGCCAGCGAGGCACGAAATGTAGCGGAACTCAGGAATGACGCTCGCCAACACTTAGCGTGCAGAACCACTCAGTCTGCTCACGCTAACCAGTACTGATGTATGCCATGTACAGAGGGCAAAGGTGCATCGTCTGAAAATTGAGTAACACAGCAAAAAAAATGAATCATTAAAACAATATTTCATTAAAGCTGCACTCTGTAAGATTTTTGTTAAAATTAAAATAAGTAGCATTACTGAGTCAGGAAAACAAACATGCTAAAATATGGTGTGTGCACTGCTGTGAGAGATTGGGTCAGATTTCGAGTGAGTTTTTCAGACCATGTCATACGTCTCGATGTATTAATGTCACATGCATAGGCTAAAAAGGAAGGTCCAGCTTGTTGTGTAGGTCTTAAATACATAAGCAACATTATACTGATGAAGATATGATGACAATAGTTTATAATTTACTTACATCCTCAGAAGACATGTCCTTCACCAAGTTTTGACTGAGTTCTCTTTGAATACTATGTCAACATGCTCGCAGTCATCAGATTCATCCTTTTGGGCACGGGGACCGTTGCACAATTGACATTACAAAATGTCCCTCTGCATGTTGTGTGCAATTACACATTTCCACCAGAGAGGTCTCCAAATCCTCAAAATCTATATAGTGTAACTTAAAAAGTTTTACTGAATTCTCTTAGAGTTCTTTTTCAATGTGCTCACAATCATCATATTCATTTGCTCAGGGAAGGGGTCCGAAGCACAACCAACACTGAAAAATCTACTTACAATATAGTGTAGCTTGTGTGGAGACATGGTGGAACAGAATTCAAAATCTCAGGAAATACAGTGTAAAATGTTAAAAATGTTTGTATGATACTATAATTAAGTGTTACATTAAGTATCCAGCAGAGTTTTAAAGGAAAAAAAAAATGACAGAAATATCATAAAACATTAAAAATCACTGATCAGACC